ATAAATTTGCACTTTTAATTGCAGTAGTTTGAGGATTTTGTACACATGTTTCACTCTACCATGCGTAATCAATATCGGTCCACGTTTTGGGGTTTTCATATTTTATGAAAAATATCGATTAAAAATCGTTGAAATTTGTATTTGGTGTACATAATGGTTCGCATAAATCGGTTTGTAGAACTGTCGGTATAGGTCCACTTTTTGACATGTTCCCTATATTTTCATTTCAAGTAACTTATGGTGGAGAATATCCAAAGTCCGGCCCGGCCGAACTTAACGCTTTTTTCACTTGTTTAGTACTAGCACGAATTTCTAAAAATCCAGCCTTATCTTAACTTTTGGACTAAGAGTTACCTTCACGCCAAATTTCTAGATTCAGTCGTTTCTTATATAGATACATGGGATGAATGGGGGCTGGATAACATAGATTAATAGAAAAAATGTTATGATCGGCCATTTTTTGACCCTTTGGTTTTAAAAGTACAAAACCGAATAGCCCTAAATAGACTAAGAATTTTAATGTAATCAAATATAGATTTTCTTTATGGGCTTTCCGACGAATATTAGTCTAAGTTTAGATATAAAACGGTATCCTAATAGACGTTTTCGTTACCTATGAAGATTTCTTTTAGTATACATTTACAAATTCAACTCATTATATCCACTTAATACATTACTAGCGACCATTATACTGACGTTTGTAATTCACGCTCTATTCGTAAATCAAAGTACCAATTTCAATACCAAATTTAAATATTATATATCCTTTCTTTCATTCACTTAAATTACACATTTTTATATCCACCTACATTTCATAATCCTACACCCCAACAATGGACCTCATAAAATTGTAGACTTCCAGTCATATTTTTGTGGGACTTCTAGAAAAAATTTCCATTATCCTTTCGTAGGCATTCTAATTTTTTATTTTTATTTATGCAAAATTTCAAGATTCCAAGCGTTTCGTTAAGCGTTTCGATTATTATCGAGCGTTTGTAAATATTCCAATTTTTTTATAAATATACCTGGTATCCGAACTGGTGGTGGTCGTGGGAAAAATAACGGCAATAGATTATATATAATTTTATGTAGAAACACCATTTCGAATTTAATTTAAATTTCACTTTTACAACACGACCTTTTTGCTTTGAAGCTATACAAATAACTGATATATTTGTCTGTAAGGAATTAAATTGCACATTATTCATATTGCCCCAAAATGCGGTCTAATTAACATTAAGTAATCACTTTTTTAAGTACACGCTTAATAATGGGGATACATTTTTTGTAAATAATGAATGTGGTCCGTGCTCCGATACTAAGTCATAAATTAATTTATACAAATTTGAAATGTCAAAAAACCGGTGTGTAATGTAACTCCTACAATATACCGCTGTACAGTTTAATGCATTCTGAATTTAAGGTGCCGATTATTAAAAGTCAGTCACTTTGCTAAAGATATTTTATGAGAGATTGCATATAAATAAGATTTTGGAATTTTATTAAATTTTAATATTATAAAAATTAGGTCAATAGAACACATTTTTTTGACAAATCTTGACTTCAAAAACATTAGATTTAAGAAGTATTTCATGTCAGTATGAAGTTACGATATATGAAACAGATTTGATTTCTTAATGTTCTACAGTAATTTTGTTACTCACTTCTACTAATTAATATGAATTAAATATAACGTGGCGGATAAGAATTGTGACAATGAAACGAAACTTCAGTGAACTGATAATCCCAAGATTCTGTAGATTACCGATGCGATGGATACCTTGATCAATATTCTGTTGGCACAGCTACCTGTATAGTCAGAAAAATTTGATGGTATGTATCGTACACCTTATTTCCGGGTTTCTGTCATCAAATCGATTCAAAATGGTTAGTTTTACAATACATTAAACACGTGCGTGAATACTTGGTTGAATGCCCGAAATTTACTTTACTAATTGTTATAATCATGAGAAAACCACTATTTTTTTCAAAAAATGAAAACATTTCATCTATTTCAAATATGTTTTCCTAATTCGCTCTACTTTATCACTATTTGCGCTCATTTCTCTCTCTTTTATGACAAAGACAAATGTATTCCTACGAAGAAAGAACCCCACTACCATTCGTTATGTTTTGTTTTGGTATCGCTCTCCGTCTCCTCACTTGGTGGTTGATAGTTTTGCAACCGTTTGTGGTTAGGTTTGCCTTCCATTGTTTCTGTATTTCAAATACTGTTACCGACCTCTACATTGATGCTAAAAATTCGCATATGCATTTTACAAATTATTTCGATATAAGTGCCAAATACAATATGTCAAATTTAATATTTTTATAGTTCTTGTCTTAACTTCGTTAATCATTGATTTATTCCAGCTAAATGAATGATTGGTCTGCTGTAATTTGTTCTATGTGTTGTGGCTGCCATCTATCGTTGCCTGGAAACAATATTACCTTGAATTTGCAGTGCAGTGGTTACGATCCTTGCTTATTTAGTGTTGCCATTTTCGCCTGGGTGGCGCCAGCTTCTGAAAAATGTAATATACGCTCGACCTTATGTTAGAGAGTATAAAAATCGGGTAATGGTTCTGTAATCACTTTTCCTGCTAGTTACATTTTTAAATGTTTTAATCAATGGAATAACATTATTATGTTATTGTTCCGCAAATACTTTAGTGAACTAGTATTTCTTATGTGATCTCAGATATATTAGTGAGTTATTTCCGTCCAGTACACATTTTAAAAATTTTTGAAATATCTATTTTTACTATTTTGCCTTGTGTGTCTGCTAAAATCATGTTAAAGCTTACAACATTTAAGATTTAAGAGATTATATACATATATTGCTACTTCTCCTAGGATGTTCGGAAATGGGATGTATCCGTCCAAGTTTTCGGTGTTTTGGGATTATTTTACATATTTTCAATAGAGAGATCTCGCAGTGTATAACATCTTCGCCATCAACATCTTCTTAACCAAAATTGTCAGTAATTTCGGTATATTGTGGAGTTTGAGCCCAAACTAGGCGTCTGTATTTTAGTATTTTGATCAATTAGTTTTAGTGGTCTGCTGTAGATGGAGCTGCTAGCTATCGTTGTTTAGAAACAAGGCCATAATGAAATTTGTACAATGATTGATGTCCTTGTTATATAGTGTTGCCAGTTTCCGCTGAGCGGCGCCATTTCCTGTCAAATTTAATATACGTTCTTCCTAATGATGTAAGTTATAATTATAGCTTCTATAAAATTAAGCTTAGGGACTATCTTATTCTTGATTTAAAATTGCGAAGATTTGCAACCGACTGGCAAAAGACGATACAATATCGGTCCCCATTTTCGAATAGCCACCATATAACGGTAATCCAACTATTTGGTGATTTGAGGATTTCAGACAACTTTTCCTTTACTCGTCATTTTCGGTATGTTCATAGTCCTAGCCCAAACTGAGTGTCTTTAGTTAAGTATTTCGTTTTCTACTTGATCGTTTTAGGTTTTTTGAATGTTCACCATATGGCAGAGGGTATAAACAGTTAGGCCCGACCGATCGTAACGACTTGTTTGTCTATTTTTATGCTCCCTAAGCAGATTATTGTTCTGCTGTAGCCTGTCGATGGGGCTGCCATCTATCAATGTCTAGAAACAACGCCAACATGAATTTTGTAAAATGGTTGAGGTCCTTGCTTATTTAGTGTTGTCATTTCACGCTGAACAGCGCAATTTCCAGCCAAATTTAATATACTCTCTTCCTAATGATGTAAGTTATAATGATAGCTTCTATAAAATGCAAATTGGGGACAATCTTATTTTGCATTTAAAATTTCGAAGATTTGCAACCGACTGACAAAAGTCCATGCAATATCGGTCCCCATTTTGATATAGCCTCCATTTAACGGTAATCCAACTATTCGGTACTTTAAGGAAGTCAGACAAGTTTTCCAACCGTTACATAACATTTCCGGTATGTTTAAGGTCCTAATCCAACCTGAGTCTATGGTTTTTTTCCATGATCGTTTTCGGTTTGGAATGTCCACCTTATGGTGAAGGAAACAAAAAGTTCGGCCCGGTCGAGCTTAATGACGTTCTTGCTATTTTTATTCTCCCTAAGTAGATGATTGGTCTGCTGTAGCCTGCCCTAGTAGATAGGGGTTGCTATCTATCGTTGTCTAGATACAAGGCCACCATGACCTTTGTACAATGGTTGATGCCCTTGCTTTTCCACTGGGCGGCGCCATTTACTTGCTAATGATGTAAGTTATAATGAAAGCTTCTATAATATGTAACTGTTGGACTTATTTTCGATTTAAAATTTTGAAGATTTGCAACCGACTGGCAAAAGACAATGCAATATCGGTATAGCCCGGTCGATCGTAATGACGTTCTTGTCTATTTTTATGATCCCTAAGTATGTTATTGATCTGCTGTAGCCTCTCCTAGATGGGGCTGCCATCTATCAATGTCTAGAAACAACGCCAACATGAATTTTGTATAATGGTTGATGTCCTTGCTTATTTAGTGTTGCCATTTATCGCTGGGCGGCGGAATTTTCAGCCAGATTTTATATACACTCTACCTAATGATGTAAAAATGCAACTTGTGGACCGACTGGCAAAAGGCCATACATCATTGTGAGGACATCAAACTTCTCTTTTGGAGGAGAAGAAAATAACTTGGTTAAGGAGAAGAAAATAACTTGGTTAACTTGAGGATTTATAGGTTTGAATTATATTGGCAGGCATTTTGTAGTGGCTACGTATAGCCCGGTATCGACTGTAATCATTCTAGATTCTCTTCAAAGTAAAAAGTTCTTAATTGTATTACTTTTATTAATTTTTATTATATAAAAAATTATTTATTTTTGAAAATTATTTACAAAATGAAAATTAATGTAACCTGGTTATCTATACAATGAATAAAATGAGTATCATAATAAATATTTTAAAATAATTTCACATAAAATACACAGTATTTTATCGTAGTAAATATCAACAACTAAATACTTTTGAATTAATAACTTCCGCTACGATAGAGTATCACACGGCCATTATTTTCTTGCAGTGGTCGGAAATTGTTGTTCATTCGGTGGCCATGGGCATCACGAATTTGCCAAAATTTCTCAATATGTTCATAGGCAATTGGTAAAGGTTCGGGGAACACGTGCCATGTTACAGCTTCAGCACAATCGGGTGTGGTCAATGAACCAGTATATGTGAAAAATGTCTTCGTGTTTAAATCACCCAAAAAGTGACCCAATGTGAGATGATCTTCGGGTAGGGTGGAATGGGAATTCATATAAACCAAATTGGGTAAACTACTGAATAACATATTCAAGCCGGGATAAATGCGATCAACGTCCTAGGGATAAAATAAAATTATAAAAAAATCATTTACAAATATTTTTAAAGAATCTCTTACCCTCGTCGCTTTGAACATAACAGCCAACACCGTCAAACCATCCACATGTTTGGAGGCCTCTGCCACTGTCGCATAAATGACATTTTTATGAACGATATGCATCTCAACATCAAAGCGCCGATTGTCTATCATATGTTCGGAACCCTTTGAATTTCTGCTGCCCCAATGGAAATGCACAGCAACAGCTTCGTATTTACTTTTCAGAACACCACCGCTGACAAAGGGTCGGACACCATTCACCGTTGGTGGTATTTCGAATTCCACTGCATCCAACGAACCAATCAAAAACAACAACAACAACAAAAGAAAAATAAATAAAATGTCATAAAGAGATATGAAATGTCATCACATCGCACCGCATCGCATCAAATGCAAATGACCCACTCACCTGAATGTCCATTATTTCTTAAGGTTATATTCCCCGCCAGTGGTAAG